TAAAAATGAAAATTATTATTTACGACAAAAGGGAGGGCCAGGGCCAGGGGCTGGGGCTGGGGCAGGGGCACGAACACAGATTTACTTTTTTCCGCTGGTAATTTAGAGCCTAGCTAATGCTGATGCGCCCCCCTACTGCCTCCTGCCTCCTGCCTCCTGCCGCCGCTTGGCATTTAATTTATTTGTGCGGCAAAAAAGAAATGGAAATGGCAAAAGACCCAAAAAAAAAAAAAGACGAAGGAAAACCTGGGTGCGGTTATTGATTTTCCCGTTTGCTGATGAGTCGGAACTGGTGGATCTGTTGGAGCGAGGAGCAGTAGCCCCCCTCCAGATTACGTTAGGAATGGGGAGGAGGAAGATGATGATGATGATGCGGTGGCCAAGGAACCAAACGCTTCGTTGCGTTTTGTTGCGTTGGCAAATTTGTGTTCTGCTTCCCCCCCCCCCCCCCTTTCGGAAATCGAATAAGAGCTGGCCCAAGGGGGGAGATTAGAGAGGGAGAGGAATTGCTCGATAAGCGGAATTTGTGTCAATTGGACATGAAAAAATCATTAAAGCGAAGGGAATTTACGGCAAAGAAGAAGCATTTAACCCCCGGACTATCGAAGGATGGCCAAGGGATATATGCCACAAATGAAATATGCACAGGCCCCGGGCTCTGCCAGGGGGGGGGGCCCATCGGCCATTGGTAGAAAAAAGCCAAACGCTGACAGACGAGAGCCTGATAAATGGTGCCACCTCCTGGTTGACGGACGGGAGGCTGCAATGCAGCTGCCAATTAAGTGCCACATTATGCCGCAGGCAGCGCGCCGAGCAATATGCAACAGCGTTTGGCCAACAAAAGAGTGCCTCGTGCCGCAGATGGAAAGGGGAAAAGAAAAGGAAAAGAAAACAAACGTGGCAGATAAAGGGCAGGCAACTAAGCAATTGTTGTGCTGCTGCTGCAAGGCCACGACACAATTTCCCCCCTTTCTATGCATCTCTCTGTGTGTGTGTGAGTGAAAGTTTCGCAACTCTTGAGAAGAAAGAAAGAAACAAAAACATCCTCTTGGCGGTGTTTTCGGAGAACTTTTTCAATTTGCCGTGTGGCATGGACCATGATGCTGCGCTGCTCATTTGTTGCATTTAAAAAGCAATTATTTCGTGGCACGAAAAGCATAAGCCCCAACCAACCCCCCTCCCACCAAAAAGTACAATGATAATTGCATGTGGCACGAACAGATACCTCCCCGAATATGCATGAGTGGCGCTGTCTGTGTGTCTGTGTGTGTGTGTGTGTGTGTGTGGCTTTTCCCAGGCATTTTTGTGCTCTGCTCTTCTCATTGGATTACGCCTCGCCCCAATCTAAATGTAAATGGCCAATCGGAAAATAATAAGTCTGTGGCGGAGGGTGGTGGGGGGGGGGGGGGGGGAGCGGCTGGAAAGTGCAGGAAAATCCCAGATATCCCAGGCAGCTCAAAAGTTGAGAGAGAGAGTCGGAAAAACAACAAGCGAAGTAAAAGGAAGCGAATTTTCAATTTCATAGTCTAAATAAAGCCGTAAGATATCTTCCAGCTGGAAAATTGAGTTTTCCTCTACCCCTATCTCTCCCTCTCTCCCCTGTTGCTATCCCCCTATGGAGGCCAAAGTTGCAAGTTGCATGTAAATAAATTAGGGCCTCCTAGCAATTATTGAGGCCTGCCGATTCCAGAAACAGTGGAAACAAAGCCTCTCTCTGGCTATCAATTTTCCTAGGATTGTGGTAACTTTGGCCATTTCCCTGGCCAAACGGAAACGTATACCAAAAACACCCGAATGCAAATGTTTAGCAGGCCACTTGGATACTTTGAGTCCGCTTGGAGTCGGGATTCCCAAATGAAAGTCAGAGAAAGGGGAGCACAGGCCAAATGGCAGACGGGGAGCGTGGGGAGGGGGATGGAAAAACTCGGTCAACTCTCGAGTCACGCACTTGGGGAACATTGTCAAATCGACAATTTACTCGTTAGGACAACTTTTTTTGTGCGGAGGGAACAACTTTTGGGCAACATTTTGCGATGCTGCAAATTGAAAGCTTCTTGTATTTTGGTTGGGATTTTGGCCAGGACAGTCGCCGGACAGGATGCCATGCCATGTGTGGACACTGCCGTTGTTGGCTGAGAGCCTGTTTTATGATGGCAATACACTCGCAAATGTAATTCCTGGCATCAATTATGCTTACAGAGGGAAGGACAACGAAGGGGGGGAGCTGGGAAAACTTTTCTCGTTTTTCGGTCATGACAACTTTTTGCCTGATGTTTGAGGGAAATGTGGAAACAAGTCGAGAAAGTGCACGGCATCAGGCTCCTCCTTCGCCCCCGCCTGAGTCTTTTTGTTTATGCATGAAACGTGCCTGGCAGCCTCTGTTGCAAGAGCCCACCACCGCCACGGGGCACCCCCGCCCCCTGTTGCAGTTGAACGCACTGACTGACACAATTTGCGCTCATTATGGAAGCTCCGAAGGTTGCCTGCCGCTGCTTTTGTTGCCTTCTTTCGTTCTGTTTTCTCTCTCCCCAAGACTTTTCGCTCGAGTTTTCTTGGCAGCAACTAGTTTTCCCTCCCCCTCTCTACCCGCTCTCTACCCGCTCTCTAACCGCTCGCTTCCTGCCAGTCGGAGCTTTGTGAAGTTTTTTAAATGCTTTATTGAAACAATTTCCGCTTTATGGAAATTTCGCGGAGGCACACACAACGCGAGACCCACTCGTATATCATTTTCGTTGTCATATATCAGAATGGTGTCAAGCACACGCCATTTTGGCAAGAGGCTGGACGTGGGGAAGGCGGGGGATGCGGGGAAGGCGGGAGTCAAATGCAAATTCGATGCAGCAGCAGCTGGAGAAAGCAGAGCCACGTTTCCTCTTCATTCCATGGCAGAGAGTCGCAGGTGGCCAAAATGGTGGACGAAATGACATCATTTAAATTCATGCATGACCCACATTGCACCTCTCTGCTCCCAGCAGAGTGGGGCGGGGGCTGGCGCACAGCTCCTTGGCACTCCGTCTCGTTCCCGCAGCTCGTATTTTATTAACAAAGCAATTTATTGCATAAATTCCCAATGCACTCTGCAGGCCACAGTTGCGGCCGCAGCCCCCCACCCCCCACCCACCATGCACCATCGATCTGTGGCTCGAAGAAGCGGCTACTTTTTGACTTTGGGGAGCAGCCAGAGGCGCCCCGAGTGCAAGTTTTGGGGCAAGTTTCGGGCTCCCTCGAAATGAGTTCATTTAGCAGCGAAAACTGCCAAGAGCCAAGGAGGGAAGAGCATGCAAAAAATGCTCTGGGCGAGAGGCTGCTTAGTCATGCGGAAAGCAGCCACTCGGCACTCTGCCGCACCGCGTTCGCCGCCTGCCGCCTGCCGCTTGCCCCATTTTCTGGCTGCTAATTGCGGCATAAATCAAGCGGCAACACAGCGAAAGGGATAGAGGACCACGCTCTAAATAAACTCGGCCAGAACGAAAGTGTTGCAAGCATCCCCCAGCAGGACAAACATTTTTTTGCCACATGCTTTATGGCCACTTCTGGGGCGCCTCCAATGTGGAGGCATGGTGCATGGTGTCCCTGGTGGATATTTATGAGTACTTTGGTCAAACGTTTGCCTAGTGGATGCCACTGGATGCCATTGGATGCCAGTGGATGCCATTGGATGCCATTGGATGCTGTGGGGGGCTCCGAAAAATTATAAATGTCTGGATGTGGCCGAGTGGCCGACGCGGCGTATACGCAATACGCAAATATTTTAATTAAATTTCAAACGAAACGAAACAAAACGAAATGAAAGCAAAGCAAACAAAACCAGAAAGTTCTCTGACAAAATAAGTGGAAGGACATCCTGAAGCAGGAGCAGGCGAAGCAGCGGAAGGATATGCGTGTATGGCGTTAATGGGAGGGAAAGAAGATCTTTCGAAAACCATGAACCAAAACCGAAAACCATCCTGTTTTCGCTGTGGAGAAAAGCTTATAAAAGTGTCCTTTAATGAGGGCACTCGCTTGAAACTCAATAAGAGGCCAAGGACCTTCCCTTGGTATTCGCCTTGCCCATTCACCGCAGTTTATAAAAAAGGTATCCCGACAGTCGCCACACCCACCTTTTATCCCTTACGGTTGTCTTTTCCCATACGAATACGTTGTTTGTGGAGGAAAAGTTGCCCCCGCGGCACTGGGATTTTCGGTCATGAGTGGAACAGAATTGGGGTCTGTTTTCCCGCATCCCCCCCCATGGATGCGATGCGAGAGAATAAAGAGCTGTGGTGGAAAATGTAATTTAAATTCTGTTTTGTGGGGGAGAGCGGGAGGGAAACTCAATTGTTCTCACTCTACAAATCACTCAATTCTGTTTAGCTCGTTCTCATTATGAGTACTCAGGGCCCTGACTCCCCTCTCTCTCCCCGCCCTGTCCTTGGGGCGGGTCAACAAGTGTCGTTGGGGCTGGCCAAATGCCAAGACAAAGCCAGCGCTTTGTAGGGCATTCCATAACGCGCGGAGAAATTCAATTAAGTTTCTGTCCTCCGACTCTCGATGTGCCTTTCTATTTTTGGGTCACTGTTTTTATGGCCAGAACGAAGGGGAAACGAAATTAAAGTCAATAAACAAGCCCTGGAGGCTGCTGCGGCTACGGCTGCGGCTACGGCTGGGGCGGAAAATTGTCATTCGACTGTCCCCCAACAACTGGCTCTGGCCACAGTTGCTGTGGCATTTTGGGCCCTGCCTCTACCTCTCGGTGGTCGGCCCCAGGGCTCAAATAAACCGCAAAAGCCGTCACAGAGCCGCAGCCAGACAATGGCCCATGTGAGTGGCCCTCTAGCAAGCATTCAAGGCACGGCTCTGGCAGGGCGGACATTCAAGGACATGCTCGTATTATTCGCCATGGAAATGGCTGCCATTTGTTGCGCACAAATAATTTTACAAGCACTTGGGAGACCCCCTCAAGAAATGTGGCCAAGCCCTGAACTAATTCCCGTTCCGTTGTGTCTCCTTTGTGGTTGCAGATACACGACGATCTAGAGAAGGATCCGGACTATTCGGGCTCTGGCTTTGGACCGGATGACGAGGACGCCGAGCCGGACCATCACTCGCAGCACGGTTCGCACAACACGCGCATCTCGCAGAGCGGCGGCTCCAGCATAAACAGTAAGCATAAATCGAACGACAACAGCCACAACGACGACCTCGACCACATCTCGAGTAGATTCAACAACAACAACAACAACCAGAACCAGAACCAGAACCAGAACCAAATCGACAACAACAGCCAGAATCTTAATAATAATAATAACAATAATAATATTAATAATAATAATAATAATCCCAACCTTAATAACAATCACCATCCAGCGAATAGTGGCACAATCATTGGTAGTAGCACCACAGCGAACCATAACAGTAATCAGAATCACATCGGCGGCCAGAGCGGCGGCATCATCAGTGGCAGTGGTGGTGAGATCGGTGGTCATAGTGGCACTGGCATTAACACAATCGGTAAAGATCAAGCTAGTTTTGTAGCTATTCTAAGCGAGACATCTTCTACTTCTCCTCCTTCTTCAACATCCACTACCACCACCACACCACACACCTTAGTTCTCCCATCTCAAACAGTTACACCACCAAGAGATACAGATACAACAACAACAGACACAGATACAGATGTAGTTACAGTCATTGCCAGGATAGATTATAGTTACGTTAGATCTAGAGCCAACAACACTAACAACAATTCATTCACAACATCTACAAGAACACCAACACCAACAACCCCATCTCTATATCCAGCAGCTCATACACCAACACAAACCTCATCCACAACCTCGACAACAACAACAACAACAACAAGCAGTTCACCAACAACGACAACCACCACCACCACCGGCAGCAGCAGCACTACGACAACAGCGGCCACAACCCCTTCAACCACAGCCGCCTCCAATCGCACCCAAACCACGCCCACGCCCACGCCCAAGCCCATTGTACCCGAATCCACCGCAGCGAGCCGTCCCTTGCCTCCCTTCCCCGCCTTCGATGAGGATCTCGATGTGGATGTGGAGGCCAGCGGCGATGGCATCGATGTGGAAGGCGGCGGCGAGGATGACGACGAGGGCGATGATGAGGACGACATCATCATTGATCATCCCGATTCCGAGAAGCCAAGGCTTGCAGAGCCCGTTCCCAATGGTGAAATCGATCATGATCATGATAGCGATAACGATAACGATAACGATGATGGTGAAGGCGATACCGATGACACGGACGATGATGATCGCATCATCGATGTGGATGGCGGCGATGAGGATGGAAATGGAAACGGAATCGGTGGCAACGATGGAGACCTCAACACAGAGCGCGGACGTCAGTGGTTTTTATTTTTATCCTTTTGTTTTTGTACTTTCTTTTTGATCATTTGTTTGTATGCGTTTGCTTTTGTTTATATGTATGTTTTTTTTGTGTGTTTTATTGGTGCTTTTGCTTTGCCCTCCTCCTCCGTCCCTCCATGCGATTCCTTTTGTGTTGTGTCCCCCGCATATCCTTTGAAGAGGATTGCATTGTCATCTCTGGCACTGCACTGCTTTCATCATCTTGTGTTATTTGATATTTTATTTAATTTAATTTTATTTACTGTATCTTTAAGCACATTTTCAACAGCAAACAAAGTATTGTGGCTTGCACTGTAGTTGATTTCTTGGGTATTTGCTTTGGTTTCTGTTACGTTCCGTAGCTTGATTGGTATTATCGAGACGCATATTCGAGTATAAAGATGTATTACTTACAGTTACAGTTACAGTTACAGTTATAGTTACGTATATATTTGTTAAGTTTTACCTTGGTTTCTCTGTAGCGCGCGCTCTGTCAACTCTACGACGAACAATGCTGCGGGCTTTCCTTTTGTGTGGACTTTTACATGGAATACCCAGCCCCGACAACACAATAGCCAATACACCATAATTCCCACACTTTCATTGCGCTGACCAATTCTCATCCATTCATTCAGTCTGTCTGCTTTTGGCATTTATTTATTCATTCGATTGGAAAAACTCCCGCAGAGCCAACACAATCCCATTGCCTCCTTCCCCCATGCACACGCTCACGCCCACGCTCATTCTCATTCTCATGGCCTCTAGTGTTAAACCTAGGATAAAGCTATTCTAAGTCGTATAATTTAAGGATAGTTTAAGAGTCTTTTGTATACGTAGCAAACAGAAACAGAAACAGGTAGAGGGGCCAGCACCATTCATCGACCCATCGATCCATCGATTGAGATGCATCAAGGTTCTGCACAGAGGGTCCTGCCCTAGGCCCAAAGTTCCATTAAAACTGTCGCTTTCCGCCCTCCCACAGCCAAAAGAACAGCTCTGGATTCGCACTAAGCCGCACAGTGATTTGGTGCTTTGTTGCTCTTCGAGTGGAAAGCACTTGGCAGGCGCTCCTCACAGAGCTCCACTTGAAATGAAAAATCACCGAGTCCCGGGCAACGCCAAGGAGCGCCTCCACTCGCCACTCGCTGAAACTCGCAACGACTTGGGGCACGGTTGCTCTTACCCCGAAACCATCCATCCTTTGTGTGTGTGGCAAGCACTATTTATGGAGCGGGGAGGGCGTGCAGCAGCAACATCAGCAACGGCAGGAGTGCAAACAGAGCCTAATGGCAATCCAGGAGTGGATCTGATAGGTGTGTGGGCTGGGTATTTATGGCCTGCTTTGATGTTTGTGCCACTGCCACGCCCTGAACAAACACAAACCAAACAAACCATGTGGCATATGGGAGGCGGACCACACACAGCAGGACCACAATTCGGGCATAATTGTCCACAGATGGTCACATGTCTAGAGACATGTAGAGACCATTGAGTCCTGCAGTGCCTTGTGCCCCATCGAATCGTGGACAGAAGACACGCGGATACACCTTTATTGGCTTCGTCCAAACGCAGAGCCAGACACACAATCAGTCTGATGGATAGACACAGACGGGAATAGTCTTTCATAGGATGAAACCATCCCAAAGTCAGAATTATGACTACCTCCGGAGTTTTCATCGGGCCAGATTCTGCTTCGGGATGGGCTTTGATAATTTTCCAATGATTTTGGAACTCAATGCGACACATAAGTCTGGGGCAATTCAATAAGCCCTTTGGCCATTACCTAATTAAAATGCCACTCCGCGCCGCTCTACTCCCCCAAGGTGCGGTGGAGCAACAGCCAGGGCAAACACATGGGTGTACATCGGGGTGGGGTTGAGGGCAACAAGCAATTTGTTTGTCTTAAGCTTTCTGAGGCCAAAGGGTATTCGGATCCACAAGAAAACAGAGAGGGCGCAAGGGGGCTACACAATAGCTCAACAGAGAACAAAGACCGCACAAAATAAAGGATGTGGATGTGGATGTGGGGGAGTGTACATACATATATGTATGTGTTGGACTGTCAATTAAATTAATTTAAATTCACTTTGCTTGACAGCCAAATAGGCATTCAAAGGGCTCCTATTTTGCAGCATTTCAACATGTCGCTCTCGTGCCAGATCCGAAATACTTTGGGAGGTGTCCAAGGACTCCCCAGGTTTCATTCTCGAGATTTAGATGGAAAGAACTCGAAACAGCTCTCTCTGCTAGCTGTAGCTTAGCGAGATGGCCCCATGAAAATTTGTCACAATTTCCATTGCTGCCAGCTCTCTGCTGGTAACTTTTTTCATTTGGCCAAAACTTTTCCGGCTGCTCATTAGCGTGAAATGAGCTCAAGAGTTGTGTTTGTGCTGGCGGACAGACAATCAGACAGGCAGTCAGTCGGATGGGAGCCGGCAGGACATGCACTCCCGCACGCCCTCTAATGGTGGCTACGTAGTCTAGTTGTATAAGTCTTAGAGATTGGCATAAGGTATCCTTTGTACTTGTAATCGTAGTCCCGAGTCCACTCTACTAACCGTAAGCCTTGTACATATATACCGCATAAAATATCATTAACACACACGTACACGCCCACGCTGAAACAGATATAACAGACACTCGTTCCGATCGGAATCGGAGTACCCACCAGCAACAACAGCAACAGCAACAACAACAACCACTCTATATCTCTCACTTACACACACTCTCTGTTTCGTATTATTTTGCTTGCACGTCATGGGCATACTCGTAAATGGTTATACATAATCGCCGGAATCGACTCTCAATCTCATCTCTCTGTCTGATCTATTTCTTGGCACAGCGGGAGGCGGCAGCAACGTGCACGAGTTGGACCCGAATACGAACGTGAACAGCCAGCCCTCCGACACGAAGCCCGTCGACCACAGGCCCAACGGCAACGAGGTGGTCATCATGAGCGAGGACGATCGCACGTCGAGCTTCTTCTCGCAGCCGGGAATACTGGCGGGTAAGAGTCCATACATAGTCTCCCATCCAACCAACAATCGTTCACCATATCTCTTCTCTTTGCTCTGGGTCCTTAGCTGTCATTGGCGGTGCCGTGGTTGGCCTGCTCTGCGCCATTCTCGTGGTGATGTTCATCGTATACCGCATGCGGAAAAAGGACGAAGGCTCCTATGCCCTGGACGAGCCGAAACGCTCGCCGGCTAACAATTCCTATGCGAAAAATGCGAACAATCGCGAGTTCTACGCCTGAGATAATGGCACATCGCGCAGGTATTAAATGAGCCGCGAGTGAGGATCCACCCGGATGGAGATCCATCTGGAACGGGATCTGGATCTGAACGGAGGGAAGATGACGGCTCATCTCGGTACACTGTGCGGAGTGCGAATTGCGGACGGAGCAGCGCCATCAGCAGCCATCTGCCACAATGAATAATCATCTGCAACAGCAACAGCAACAGAAACAGCAAAAGCAACAAAACTAACACAAATTCAATGGAAATCGAAGGCATCGTTGGGTCACACACAACTTTTCGTTGAGGGGTAAACGCAAAAAAAAAATGCATAAATTCGAGAGGAAAATAAATTCAGAACTTACCTGTAAGCTAATGCCGGACGGATAACGGAAGAGGGCGACTTTTCTAATTAAGTACATTTTAAGCGACGAAAACAAAAGGAACCCAATATCAAATATGAATGGAAACGCACGCAAATCGTGCGAAGTCTAATATATAATTAATATATATTATATGCATAGTGAAACCAATATAAGGGAGGGAAAAATTAAGCGAATTAATTATGAATTACGATTATGTAGAGCAAAGGCCGGAGACGAGCGAGATATAATACCTATTATACCACACCACACGACACACGACACAGGCGCATCCGACTTCATGGATGGACAGATACAGACATACACATTTATGAATATACGAGTATATGTTAGCTGAATAATGGAAGCGAATTGGATATATCACGATATAGTATACCCAAACTCGAAAGAGCAGAGCCGATGTTCGTTTGCGCCATCGATTCACACCACGAAAAACAGAATGAAATATAATCCGTTGGGAATAATTATACAAATTGCGAATTGGACGGCATGAAAAAATGTTTTTAAGTTATACATAAGCAAAACTATGTAATTATTAGTGTAATTCCTAAAAAAAAAAACGAAAAACAGAACACAAAAGGAAAAATGCAAAAAAAAAAAAACTAAAATAGAAAAACGAAAAAAACTAAATGAAGCAACAAACAGAATACGAACACTCTCTGAACCTTCCTGGCAACTATAGAAACTGAAAAGTAAAGAAATCCAGAGAACTATTTCTACTTTTTTCTAGAAAACACACAAAAACATGAATATTTATTGAAATTGAGAATGAAATTGAGACCATTATATGTCTAGAAAGCGATTGCACATTAATTTAGAACTCCATATGGGTTTGAGAGCTATTCGGCCAGTTCTTCGCTCGACTCCACTGCTTCTTCCATGGCTAAGAATCAAAATCGGATTACGCATTGATTATTGTGCATTTATTTAGTTTTTACGTTCGCTGTCAATGACAATTTTTTAGTTGTGCGAAGTACGAAACACAACGCAAGCCAAGCCAATCCAATCCAATCCAATATCCCACGCAATAGTAAAAATTACTTGTTAAGTTTACAATTGAAATGAAACGCAATCCAGAAGGAAATGTTAACGACTCAGCCCTCAAATTAGCTGCAATACTTGTTTAATTGTTAGTCAACCCATATTCTCTTCAGCTCTCATGCCATATTTTCATTGCGAAAAGAAGTTATAAGAACGAAAAATACTAATACATAATACATATATATATATACAAGTATATATAATTAGCAACATAAATCAATTGTGTGTGTGTGTAATTGTGTGTAATGCATAAATAATTAATTAAACATAAACATACATACTACTACTGCGACAACAGAGCGTGCACCAAAGGGGGAGGGGAGCTCTCGAAGAACAACATCATACAGCATACAGCATACAGCATGCACGTGCATTTGTATTTGTATGTACTCGTACTTCCCCCAAAACCTAAGCCCAACTGAAACTCACACAAAAAAGGAGAACAACAGCCACAGACACAGCCACAGGAACAGCAGCAACAACAGCGACAACAAGAACTAAACCTTTTTCTGACCACAACTTTTTCTACACTGTATAAAACGCAACTGCAACTCTTTTGATATGTACAAGTACTATGTTTGTCCTTCTCGACCCATAGTACCTTTTTGTCAAATTTTACATCAAGTTTTTTTGCTACTTTATAAGCGTTTAGTTTGTTAGTTTTTTAAATGCGCTGAATGTACTGAGAAATTGGTTTTGATTTGCTAAATAAACTGGTATAAAACTAATTTAAACAAAACGAAATATACTCTACTATTTGTGTGCTACGGCAAATAAAAGAATGGAATGGCAATGTTGCATATTTATTCTCTGCTAAGAATTCAATATAAATTAGGCAGGGAAGACAAGACTAACTTGCGAACAATTTAGATCCCTCATACGAAAATATCAAAATATTTTTTTCAGCTGAGAACTCCTTATAAATTTTTGATCATAGTGAACGTTCAGAAATAAGTCGGGAATTGTTCATTGTGCTCAGTCACAAAAAATCAGTTCTAAAAATTGAACTAAATTTCAAATTTATTTATTGTTTTGGAAAATAATACTTTTCTCATTTTTTTCGAATTAAAATTTCTAGTTCAAAATGTGTTTGATTTGCAATTGTGGGTCTTTCGATTGTTATCCTGATAGAATATGGTGCATTTTCTTTGGAGCATGGAACTTAGCCATTGGTTTACTTATATTAATATCAATAATCTTCAGTTTAAGCAATGAATTGAAAAAACCTGTAATACAAGGTAAAAGCTATAGTGATAGCTGGGGTGAGTAATGGCTAATAAATGCGGAGTGAGCGAGAAAAAGTAAGCCGATTGGATCGGAAATTTGTCTATTTACATACAGATACTAGAAAGGGTAGAAGCACTTTCCTAGTTATCGCGAATATTATAAGTCTTATAATTGCCATATTGCACATGCTCTCTGGAATATTCATACTTTTGGGATTGTTCTTGGTAAGTTCAAATCCTACAGTCCAAAGTTCATCGGATTCTCAGTATTACCCTTGATATATCATTGGTTTTACTTCGCAGCCATCAAAAACTTGGTTTCGTATAGGGAAATCTATAAGCCATATTCTGCCATGGGCTTCCGTTTTGTCGATAATATTGCCAAGTAAGTGTCACATTGTCATTGGATCAGGCGGATATATATTGTACACTGTTTCTGTTGGTTTCAGTTGTGCATCTCATATGTTTATTCAGGGTGTGCAGGTATTACAAAGGGATGTGATGCAATTTTGGAAGTGCGCGTGTGCGAATTTATTTTATTTTTCCCTGCCCACCGTCTTAGTTCCGACATAAGAAACGGAATCGTTCACGTCGCCCTTACAAAAGTCGATCTCATGTAGATCTGTTGATCTAATAAACTCAAAATTCAATATTGTTCATTGCTTCAAGAATGAGCCGTTCATTCATGATTGGATTCCATTCAACAGGTATGGTCTGATCTACGTTTGCATGGGCCATCAATCAGGTCATCAATTGATGCGATTATCATCATAAGAATTGGAGTTGTCGTAAACGCAAATCGGTATTAAGGACAAACCGACATACCCATTAACCCGGACCCGGCTCGTCGCCTGCCCATTCCGGCGACATCCACAAGGATAACTTCGGGGCAACTTGAACAAATGCAAATATCATAATTTCTAACGTCATGTCTGCAACGTCGTAACCGGAACGGCAATCAGTCAGTTCGGGGCAGGGGCTGGTTTTGGGGATAGGCCACAAAATGTCTCGGGCATTAAGGCATTCTCGTCATCATTGGGGGGCGGGGAAATGAAATTGTTTTGCCACGCCACCGCGAAGGTTGCTGCCACAGTCAAAATGAGGCAGGAGCACGCAAGACCCGACTCGACCTGCTCCGACATCAGACTTATTTATTTACTCTAAAAACCATACAAGAAAATTAATGGCAATTTGCTTGGTTTCATAAATATGTCGAAATGAATGTTCTTAACAAGTGAATGCCGTGGCAGAAGCAAAGACAGAGACAGTGGCAGACAGTAGCTCAGGGATAGAGCCCTTCCAAAATCTGTTTCGTCTAGCCCCATTCTCTGCCACCCCCCACACACAGCCCCCCTCCCTGCTGCATATTGATTGCCCAGGTGGAGGCTTCGGCTTTGTGGCCCCGCTCTTATCAGCTTGCTTCTAATTGGATTTGTTCGGGCAGCCGCCCCCTTTCAAAACTCATTTGGCGTTTTGCTGCACGACTCCGACTGTGCGTGACTTTGTCTCGAACTGGTTAAAGCTATCCGCGGATCGGGCTTTAATTTCAATCAAGTGCAATTAATTAATCCGTTCGCTGCTCCGAGCCTCTTGCCCCTAGAGCACGGGTTTCCTGAGATATTAATAATGTAACTTTATTGAAGTTTATTGCGGGTTGTCAGCGCATGCAAACTAACATACAGACCAAAGAAGAGCCCAAGGGCTGCCATAACTATCAGCAACAGGGGGAAGGTGGTGAAGGAGCAGGAGGAGCCGTAGGAGTCGGGCCATAGACAAGCCACAGGCCAAGTAAATATGAGGCGAAGGTGAAACAACTCAGTTTGCCAGCAACGAGTGGTGCGAACGGACGTCCGCCGGATAGGACCGGCGTGCTGAACCGAGTACTACCTTTAAAGTCTACGACTGGGTCTCGCGTCCAAGGAGTTACCATTGAGCCATCAGGATCACACGTAACTTAGCAGAATGCCGCGGAAGAAGCAGAAGGTGGACACTATCGAGGAGATCGAGACCACCATCAAGCTGCTCTGTGATCAGTCCAATAACCACATGAAAGTGCGCGAATATGATAAGGCTTTGTTCGGCTACAATCAGGTGAGTCTTTAGAGAGTCAGGTCCTATTGAGGATCCAAAAATTAAGAACTTACAGTGCATACAGAAATCAGAATTTACAGTACTTACACCGATACCGTCGAAAAATTAAATATAATAATACATAGGAACGTTGGCCGGTGTATAATTGATTTTTAATTTATAATTTTATTGAGGCAGCATATTCTTTTTATAAGATTGACGTAGTTTTAAAAGTGTAGTTTTCAATATATTTAAAAAACGGGCATTTCTACACGACACGACACACACCTTATACACAGCATCGAGCGCCACCTGCCGACACTCAAAGCTTTTCAAAAGCTGTTCCTTGTTGTTATTTGGTATCGATTGTTGACCCATCAAAGGCGCCAGATTCCGTTCCCCTGGCAACAGTTCAACGGGCGAATCAATTACCATTTGTTTGGCGCTGTCATAGGAAGGTGTCAGATTTTCACACCAAGTTTTGGCCCTGATTGTAGCTACTGGGAGAAGCTCTATGGAAATGTCGAGTGTGCTGAACAACATCCTCGCTGTGGACAAGGAGCAGGAGCTTCTGCAGAGCTTCATCCGGACGGGCGCCAATGCAGACGAGGAGTCCTTGGACGAGTCGCACAAAAGGTCAAAGGGTCGCGGAAGTCGCAGCTCCCACAAGCCGCCCATATGGGATCGCCGCGAGTCGCGCGGCGGTCGCAGGTCGTCGGGCGACCGTGCGGGGCGTGGCAAGCAGGCTGAAGACGGTGGCGACGCTGCCGGAGGCAAGCGAGGCAACCGCATCGAGGCAGAGCTACGGGCGGCCCGAAAACGCATCGAGGAGCAGATCGCCAAGAAGAAGAAGCCCAAGGAGAACTTCGTGGACTTCTACACGGACAAGGATCGAGCGGCTGCCGTTAGCGCCGGGGCTTTCGACATCAAACAGAGTCTGCAGATCAAACAGAAGCAGGACCGCAACGAGGCGCTACTCATACCCGACGAGGCAGACATAAGCTCGGTCATAGCTCTGGGGCTCAAGGAGATCAAGAATGCCAATCCCGAGAATGCCATCCACTTCTTCTGCAAGGTCCTTCCTTGAAACATCCTCCCATTGACACTGCCACTCCACATTCCTTTTTCTAGCTTTCCGTTTCTAATGGTCGGTCCCTCTGTTTTTCAGGCTCTGGAGCTGAACAGCACGGACATCAATGCCTTGATATCGCGCAGTAAGTGCTATCTGCTGCTGGGCGAAGCCTCCAAGGCACTGCAGGACGCGGAGACGGCCCTCGGAGAGGAGAAGAACAATATACGAGCCATCTACCAAAAGGCGGAGTCGCTCTATTACTTGGGCCAGTTCGAGCAGAGCCTCATGTTCTTCCACCGCGGACTACGCGCTCGCCCCGAGCTGGCATCCTTCCGACTGGGCGTGCAAAAGACCCAAGAAGCCATCGAGAACACCATCGGCACCAAGCCGCGTGCCCCTCCGTCCGCCCCAAAGAGCGGCAAGTCGCGCAAGTCTGACGACAACATGTCAAAGTCGCAGATGCTTAACAGTCCCCGTCCGCAGACGACGCGTCAGAAGCCCACTAAGGCGGACCTGGAGCGCCGCAATGCTCGGAAGCTCCTGGGAGAGCTATGCGTGGACAAAGAGTATCTGGAGAAGCTGTTGCTACATCCGGACCTGGTACGCGCCGACACCAATACGGAGAACATATCCACGTTTGCCAAGGAGGCGGTCGAGTTCCTCCACAAACGACAAGAGTTCTGGCGACAGCAGCGGCAATGCACGGCTCTTCCCAACCACAAGAACCTGCCCAACGATGCGATGCCCAAGTGGTTCTAATTGGACCGACAGGAATGGCCGGTGGAGTGTTAAGTTTTTGTTTCCATTTGCGTTGTGTTTGATTCGTGGACTGCAATAAACCGGAGCAAGATGTAGATTAAATTGTACATAATTTATTTAATAGTATATTTATATGCTTGCCATTCGATCGGGGATTAATCTTATGCGTAACTTCAACATTTGAACAGAGCAATTGCAAACTCCCAATTTCTTTGATATTGTATTTCTTCATATATTGTACGAGTAGTCAAGTCGAACTCAAGTGCGATGGAAGGCCCAACCGCGATTGAAACTATATATAATTAATCAACATGTTAGCCAACAGCAGCTTGCGAGTGAAGAATAAATAGGTACGGTGTATCATCATTCAAATTGTATTGCGATCGTGGCCCGACTGCTGCCTAACAATGGTACTCGTATAATTTCATAAATTGACTAGTACGGCTATATAGTATATAGTTGGTTTAAACGATAAGTTTATGCCGAGTAATTCCACTTAAGTAGCTCAGGCTTTGTTCCTTGCGATCCTTGGCGTATTGGTGCACCGGGGTGAGTACGTCTGGCCAGCGGTAAACATGCATAAAAAGTGATATTCTCATCCAACAAAGGGCT